TCCGAGGGCAATGTTCGTCCCTTACCTTCGCCTCCAGGCCATGTCACATTGACTGCCATCTTTCCTGTCGTATTGCGACCACTTTGGTCTGGACTGGCTGTGGGAGTCTCGAAAGCGAAGGTCGTGCTTCCATCCTGGGATGCAGGTGGGATATGGAGAGACGAGACTGAGCAAGTGGCGGGAGGAGGGAGGATTGCTCGGGAACATGGGGGATGGATGATGATGATGATGATGATGATGATGATGATGATGATGATGATGATGATGATGATGCTGATGATGATGATGATGATGATGATGATGATGATGATGATGGTGGTGATGGTGATGGTGATGGTGATGGTGATGGTGATGGTGATGGTGATGGTGACGATGACGATGATGAGGATGATGGCGATGACGATGATGATGGTGATGGTGATGATGACGATGACGATGGTGCTGATGATGAGGATGATGATGATGACGATGATGATAATGCTGCTGCTGCTGATGATGAGTATCATGATGATCACGAACATGATCACATTTTTGATCATGATCATGATGTTGATGATGGTGATGATGAGGAGGAGGAGGCGCAGGCTCAGGCGCAGGCGCAGGCTCAGGCTGATGCTGCTGATGATGAAGATGACTATTGCAGTGGTTGCAGTGGTGTTAATGATGATGGTGGTGATGATGATGATGATGGTGGTGCTGATGATGCTTATGATCACGCTGATGCTTACGATGACGCTGAGGCTGATGCTGATGCTGCTGCTGCTGATGACGACGATGATGATGATGATGATGGTGATGATGATGATGGTGATGATGATGATGATGACGATGCCCGATGATGCTGATGATTGCGGTGTTGGTTGTGGTGATGATGGTTCTGCTGATGGAAGTGCTATGGTGATGGTGGTGATGGTGGTGATGATGCTGATACTTAGGATGATGCTGCTGATACTACTGATGATGATGCTGATGATGATGATCAGGATGAAGGAAGAGAGGGAGCATGATGATGACCATGACGTCACGTGGACGATGACGACACGACGACGAAGACGATGACTATGATGCTGACGATGCCGATGATGATGCTTATAGTGATGATGGGCATACTGTTGCTGCTGCTGATGACGATGCTGATGAGTATGACGATGATGATGGTCATGATGATGATGATGCTGATGATGATGACCAGGATGATGATGATGATGATGATGATGATGATGATGATGATGCTGATGCTGATGCTGATGCTGATGCTGATGATGATGGTGAAGCTGTCGACGCTGATGATGCTGATGATGATGATGCTGATCATGATGACTATACTGATGATGACGATGATGATAATGAGGCTGCTGATGGTGATGATGATGATGCTGATGCTGATGCTGCTGATGATGATGGTGACGATGATAATGATCCGAGCGCGCACGAGCGCGTACGTTAGTCCATGGTCTTGCACGCACGTGCCGAAGCGATGGTGACACTTCAACCTGGCATGAGCCAAAGTGTAGGCGTGGACGCACTGGAAGCGCGCTTTGGCACTCGCTGGGACATCGAACATGTCGCTGCGGCGATCGTGGAACGACGCCAAGCGAGTCGGCGGGCGAACCCCCAACAGTTGGCTTCTTCTTCTCCTTCTGAAAACCCGTTGGGTGCCTCGCGCGGTGCTGCGAAGCTTGCCCGTCACGAAGGTAGGCTGCCTACTCCCACTGGCCAGTTTCTTCTTTTGAAAATCTAGAAGCTTTTGGTAGTTGAGCCCGTAGCGTTCGTTACGGCCCCCCCACCCCCCATAACGGTTGGCCCCGGGTGCCAGCACGAACGTGCATCCTTTTCGTTGGCTTACGTCTGTTGCCATCTGGGTTAGGCGTTCGGCCGTTCTTGAATAATTGTTGGGCGATGAAGAAGCTGTCCGTTGGGTTTGTGCCCTCGACGACGCACCGCGGCGGACACGAGTAGAGCATCCTCGCTGGCGCTTGCCATGCAGGCGCGCAGGAAGAAGGCAGGGGGGACCCAGGTGGAGGACCGCGGAGGTGTCCCCCCTGAGCCCCTGGTGGGGGTCCCGTTCATCCCATTTCGTCCTCACTCTATGTCCTTAGCGCCTACAGCCTTTTCGGCTTTGGCCCGAGAGTCTACAGAAACCCCGAGGAGTATTGAAAAGAGTCTCTCACAATATCCCGTTTCCCTGGTGTTCGCTCTTGCCTCCCCGACCCAGTGTCAGTGGTAAGCGGAGCTGGTTCGTGGACCAGGTGGTGTTCGGAGACGCGCGAGGGGGACCAGGCGACCCAGGGGAACAGGCCCTAGGCCTCCAGAGGCTGGCACAACGCCGGCCCCAACGGAGGTCATGGAGGCGGGAGCCCAGACCGACGATCCCGATGAGGCGTCAGCACCGACAGATCGGCGCGAACCCGACCCCTGGAGCGACGCCGACGGCTGGGATTCTCGAGATTGGTCCAGGGGCTGGGGCTCGGGGGACCGAGGGTCTCGAGATTGGTGGCAGGGCCGTGGATGGTAGTCGAGCGGATGGCACGATCGCGATTGGCAGTCAGCGGGGGCTGGGGAATTCTGAGGGCGTTTTAATTCTGGGTTTTCAAACTATGAAATTTTGAAAGTTTGAAACATTTCAAACTTTGACAGCTTGCGTTTTCTAGGGCATCAAAATTTGACATTTTGAATGTTTCTGTTTCAACTTTTGTTATTTCTCAAATTTTAGAATTTTTAAATTGTCAAAGTTTGAAATTTTGAAAGGTCGAAAGTTTGAAAATTTAGAGGTCTGTGGGAACGCGCCAGTGCAGAAGTTTGTCGGTTCTTTCAAATTGAGAACGCTTGCGGGTTTGCTTGAAAGTTTGCCTTTGTAACTCAGGGAAGGGGAACAAGGACACTGCGGCGGACTACCTCCAATCCTCCTTGCGGCCCGTCGTCGACGACGTTTTCGCGGCTCGGATTTGTCGTTTTCGTTCATACTCAAGCGGCGGAAAAAGGGTGAGGAGGAGGAAGAGGAGGAGGAGGAGGAGGAGGAGGAACGAGACAGGCAGGGATTCATGAGAATCCGGGCGAGGTAGGAGGACAGCGTGGCGCATTCGAGCTGCAGGAATATACACAATCATAGTTGTTTTCGTTGGTATCGGGTCACACCTCGTCGCTACGGCTGGGCGCGGCTCGAAGGTGTCTTGTGATGTGCGTCGGTGCTACGCCCGCCCCGCTGATCAGGGCACGCCTGGTCGACGTAATGTTTTCCCATTGCACCAACCAGTATTTTTCATCGCTCTCCCAAAAATCTTCGGACCCACATTGTTTTGAGCTTTTGAGGACGTCGCTGGAGTACATCCCGCGAAGCTAACGAGAGGAAGAGGAAGACGAGGATGAGGAGCAGGAAGAGCCTTGGGGAAGAGTCGTTCGGATGGTGAAGGAGAAGAGAGTATGATGGGGGAGATTGACAACATGCAAACCAGACGGGGTCGCATACCTTTACAAATTCGTATCCTCGAGCGGGGGAAGCGCTCGCAACATTTTCAAACATGTGTTTTTTGCATCTTCTGGATATTAACGCCGGGGACCACACTGATTGGCTTGAGTTTAGGGTTTCCGTAGCGCGTTGCAGAACAGAGGGTTTTGCCAGGACGTCGCTATTGAAAGGCACGCTCGCTCGCGCCACGCCGCAGGCACACCACGGGCACACCGCCAGCACACCGGGCACAAGAGCGTACCGACACGCACAAACACGTGGAACCAATTCTTTGATTTGAGCGAGACGTCTGCATGTTTTCGGCGCGTCGGTGGAACTTGTTCAGCAGGCTAGCGCGGGGGGGTTTGATCCAGTTCCCTGTAAGAGGAAGACAAATGTTTCCCCAAAGCTGGCCCGCGAAACGAGCTTCGCCAGCGCACCCAGAAACATGCCGACGTCTCGAATAAATAACGTAAGTGGTATCACGTGTTCATGCGTGTCGGTGCGTTTTTGTGCCTGGTGTGCTGGTGGTGTGCCCGCGGTGTGCCTGCGGTGCGGCTTCGGACAAATCGTTATCGTCTGATTTTCAATGGATGTCCTCATGAGAACGAAGGAGCTGCAATCCAAGACATTGTTTCCGCGCTGGTCGAGGACTGGTTTTCGGAAGCCCCCGGAGGCCGACAATCGTGTCATGTTGGGTGCCATACTGTGCTCGAGCACGCGGCGCTGGGTCCCGGAAAAATAACGATTTCACAAAAGAATCTGCGGGTCCACGATTTTTTTGTAGGTGTCCCCCCTCCCCGTTGAACTTCCTGTATATTTGCGTTCCTTACTTTGGCTATCCAGCGCCATCTTCGAGGCCATCTTGTGCTCGAGCACACGTTGCCGCCTTGCTCCTGTTTGTTTTCCCCCGCAAGGCCCCCCACGAGGATAATGACGAAAACAGGAGGAGCAGGATGAGCTGTATGTGCCAGCCCGAATTGCGCATCTTGCTTTCCGTGTTTTTTCACCCCGGGGACGCCCCATGAGGAGGAGGAGGAGGAGGAGGAGGAGGAGGAGGCGAAGGAGGAGGAGGCTGGTGACGGTGGATGGTGGGGAGAAGACGGAGGATGAGCAGGAGGAGCAGTATGACACTCATGCTGATGCTGATGCTGATGCTGATGGTGTTGCTGATG